GTCTCACGGTCTCTCCTGCCCAGGCTGGCTTTGAACCGAGATCCTCAGATCTCAGCCTCCTGAGTAGCTAGGATTACAGGCATGAGCCACCAGCACCCGGCCCGAAATCTCATTTTTGACCAATGTATCTGGCCAGATGACTATGGGATTCATTGAGCCAGGGAGCCATCAGGATGATTACACATGGGAGATAGATAACAAGGTCTGTTCAGTGCCTGTTTCATGTGAATAGTTGTGTGTTCAGTTGAAGAGGTTAGAGTGGAAATACAAGTGGCAGTCATGGGGGAGTTGAGGCTGTGGGCTAGGCAAGATGGTCAAGTGTGTGTGAGGGAGAAAGCAAAAGCAAGGCTGAATGTTGGCGGTAGAGAGGAAGCCCATGAAATGGAAGGTAAAAGCCAAGGGAGAAGAGGAGATGGTTTGCCATACCCAGAACCATTATAACAGCAGGGGTTTGAGGCTGAAGGTTGTCCTTTGAGTTTGTGAGGTACAGGACGTGAACGAGACCATAGTGGAGCCTGGTACACTGAAACCAGGTTGGAGTAGGCTGCTGGGTGCATAGGTGGTGAGAAAATGGAATCTGGTTTTTGTTTACAAAGTCTGTATATGCTTGAGTAAGGAGAAGGCGGGATTGTGGCAAGGTTTTTATAAAAGAGATTCTTGCTAACTTACCTCTTGATTAGGAAGGGAAGGGGAAGAGGCTGAGGAGACTTTGTCTGGGTGGTGACGGAGCTGAGGACAAGAGAAGCCTCTCAGCCGGGCGCCGGTGGCTCATGACTGTAATCCTAACTACTCAGGAGGCTGAGATCTGAGGATAGAGGTTCGAAGCCAGCCTGGGCAGGAAAGTCCATGAGACTCTGATCTCCAATAAACCACTAGAAAACGGGAAGTGGCGCTTTGGCTCAAGCGGTAGAGCACTTGCCTTGAGCTGAAGAGTGCAGGGACAGCGCCCAAGCCCAGTGTTCAAGCCCCACGACCAACAACAACAACAAAAAAAGAGAAGCCTCTCTGCCTGTTATTTACCTGGAAGACCGTGGAGTGGGAGTCTTAAAGTCACTGAGAATAGACTGGGCTGTGTGTCCTGGGGTCCTGCCAGGACAGCAGAATCCAGAGCAGGGATAAATAGGCAGTTGCCCTGACTGTTGCTCCTCTGTGTCCACAGGCAGAGGAGGAGAGAAAGGCCCGGGAGGAGCAAGCCCGGCGGGAGCATGAAGAGTACCTGAAACTGAAGGAGGCCTTCGTGGTAGAGGAGGAGGGTGTGGGTGAGAACATGACAGAGGAGCAGGTAAGCCCACAGCCCTTGGCTTGGAAACTGAGAGGTAGGTGGGCATAGTACTAGTAGGCCATTGTGGTGCGAGCCTTGTTCTCAGTGTCCCATCACCCCAAACCTTGGGACATTGTGCTGCTTATGCAGTCAGTTGGTTGTGCTGGCACACGGGTAGGCAACAGGCAGACAAACAGTTGGGGCCAGATATGAGCTTTTTTGTCTCTATCAGGAAGACACTTACTCTATTTCTCTGCCCTCTAGTCCCACAGCTTTTTGACAGAATTCATCAACTACATTAAGGTAAGAGGCTCAGAAGAACACTGTTGTCAGCTCCTGCCATCTGTGTGTGTGTGTGCGTGTGTGTTCATTCTCAGAACTCAGTGGTCAGGGCAGAAGTGGTCACTGCAGGTACTGGTGGATCATTCAGTCTTGTACAGGAGTAGCAGAGCCCAGAGGAGCTAAGCTGCTGGGTCTAGGCCAGGAAACCCTTCCCTTTCAGACTCAATAGGTAAAGAAGGACTGGGGGAGGCTCAAGTGTCTGATGGCATCCTCACACTTGGTTTGACAGATCCCCCTGCTCTTCAGACCCCACGCTCAGTGAGTCATTGTGTTTTCAAATCTGTTCACATGTGTTTTCTGTCAGTTCTGTCACACTGAGCCTCTGCTGAATTGAAGCAGGCACCCTCTGCCATGTGCTGCTGACCGGGAACATGGGTTTTCCAGGAGAATAAGGGTGGTATTTCCTTTGAAACCAGGGCAGGCAGGGCAACATTGTGCCCTGTCAGCCCACAGCTACCTCAAAGGCCACCCTGATGCTGCTCTGGGATGCATAAGCATGTCCCTATCTGCTTCGCTGCTAGGCAACTTATCTCCCACAAAGGATGCAGTAAGGGGAGAGGTTTTCAAGTGCAATTCGGAGGTGCAGAGGCGGCTGAGGGAAGAAGTGCAGAGGGAGCGGGGGCGATGATGGGGGTGGTATCAGGGGCTGCCAAGGAGCCAGGGCTTGCATAATCCTCCCCCACCTCTCCTGGAAGAGAGCAGAGTTTAGCTGCCTCCCAGCTGTGCGCTCACAGCCTGCGGCTCAGGGTCCCTAAGACAGAGAAACACTGATAGCTTCCACAACATTCTGTTTCCTCCGGCTGCAAATATTCCCCTTTGTTGGAACCTTTTTCCCTATCCTGCACACTCAAGTGTATACCTTCTCCAGGAAGCCTTTCCATGTGGATTTTGCACATGGAATATTGATGTGAGATAATGGGCATTGCTTGCTTTTGCTGGTCCACTCCACTTTTGACCATGGCTGGGTTTGTCTGTTTCTTTGGTCATTTCGTTTTCCAACACACTTTTGACTAGGTCCTCATGTTGACTTTGTGGTCCTGTTCTGAGCTGTCACTGAGCCTGATGTCTGGTACCTGTTTTGTAGGTAGTGGCTGGCTGGCCAGGTCACCTGTGCTTGCCTGCTCCCTGGCCCAATTGCTTCTTGCTTGCCTCCGTACTTGTACATATGGTTTGGCATTTCAAACAAGTCACATGCCGTCTGCAGCTGGGGAGGTGTCACAGTGTCATTCCTCCCCCAGCTCATTTGCTGTACAAGATTCATGGAAATGTAAAGGACCGCCTTCTCCTGAGTCACATGCTGTCTGTGGGGGAGGCGGGGGCTAATGCATGTGTAGACCCAGCCGTGGATCCTCAGCTGCACCCCTGGGAACTCAAATTTCTACAGAGAGTGTGACAACAGCACGTGGAGCACAGGGCTGCACATGGGAAGCACTCTTCAGTGTTAGCGACAGTTATTTTCAGGGTGGGCTCAGTGCCTCAGACAGGGTGAAGGGAATGGGTGAAAAGAAGTGTGAGTACGTCAGGGTGGTGGAGGATCTAGGCTGAGTGGGTAGGGAACATAGGTGAGAGAGGAATGAGCCCCCTACTTGGGGCTCTGAGAGATCGCAGTTTATGGAGGCCTTTTATCTTTTTCTCTCCTGTCCCTGTCCATCTTTCCTATCTCACCAGCTGGGCTGTGAACTTAATGAGTGGGAGCTGTGTCTTACTATTTTGTCTCTGCACCTTCTCAGTTCTTTGTCCTGCCTCAGTTCTCAGCAAACACAGGTCTTAAAGACAGGGTTTTTGTTTTTGGGTTTTTTTTTTTTGGTGCCAGTCCTGGGGTTTGAATTAAGGGCCTGCTCAAGGCTAGTACCCTACCAATTTGAGCCACAGCTCTAGTGCTAGCTTTTTTGGGGGGGGCAGTTAATTGGAAATAAAAGTCTTACAGACTTTGCTACCTGGAATGTTTTTGAACATTGAACCTCAGATCTCAGCCTCCTGAGTAGCTAGGATTACAGGCATGAGCCACCAGCGCCCAGCTCATAGACAGTTTTTTAAAAATAGATCAGATCAAAATGTGAGCCTCAGGGAGGATACGTGGTGGCAATGATTTGACCAAACTCAGCCTTTTCCCTTTTTTCTCCCTCTCCTTGTAGCAGTCCAAGGTTGTGCTCTTAGAAGACCTGGCTTCCCACATGGGCCTTCGGACTCAGGTAAACTCTGAAAGGTGGATTGCAATGTGGAGCATAGCCACATGATCTTTGTGGCCAACAAGGTGAGGGGGAAGAGAGGAACTACCCTAAAGATAGAGACTCCTAATGCCTCTTCAAACTTGCCTCCAACAAGAGTGGGGAGAGTATAGGAATCTCGTTGCACTCAGGAGTCCTGCATTTCTACTAGATAACAAGAACATATAAAGAAGGAAAAATAAATTTGATTTCCATCTCTCTACCAGCCCTGTCACCAAACAGCCCAAATCCAGTTACCTTGGCAACTCTTGTAAACAGGCTGCCTTATGGTTAGATATCTCCACTGCTCCTTTCCTGCTGAAATCCTTCACTGAGAATCTTTCAGGGTTCAGGGCAAGAGCCCCTTCTGCCCTACTCTCCTCCAGTGTTGAAGCACAGAGTCACACCAGGGAGAGATTTGGCTGCAATAGAAGGGAGGTTGCAGGTGGCTTCCCCCCACGTTGGGGACCACAACACCTGTCACTCTCCTAAGAATTATTCTCCTCATAGGACACCATAAACCGTATCCAGGATCTGCTGGCTGAGGGCACTCTAACAGGTGAGAGCGTGAGAATCAATCACTACAGGGCCTGGCCCTGGGGAATGGCTAGCACAGGGAGGTGCAAGGACTTGGCATAGGCAGGATGACTATTATGGGTGGTGGAGGGTTGGGGGGGGGTGAGTCACCTACAGGGAGGAGGTGATAAGGCTGGGGGTCAGCTGAGGAATGATAAGGATGGCCAGAGGCACCTGGTTTGACTTGCTGTCAGGATAGGCCAGGCAGGCAGGAGACCTGTGGGGCTCTGAGTCAGCTGTGAAGGAGTGGATGGTCACTCTCAGGCCAGTTGGGGAGGGTCCAGGAAGGCTCAGCCCCACAACCTGCATGTCCCCACAGGTGTGATTGACGACCGGGGCAAGTTCATCTACATAACCCCAGAGGAACTGGCTGCTGTGGCCAACTTCATCCGACAGCGGGGCCGGGTGTCCATCACCGAGCTTGCCCAGGCCAGCAACTCCCTCATCGCCTGGGGCCAAGAACCCCCTGTTCAGGCTCCAGCCTGACTCCAGCTCTTTCCTCTTGGACTTGAAGCTGGCATAGCTTATCTGGCCATATATCTTCATCCCTCCCTACTGTTTTGGGGCAGTGGTGGAGCATGGCCATGAAGTTGTAGATTAAAGGTCTGTGAGCACTGCTGAGCATTTTCTAGCTTCATGTGGTAGAAGGCCTGGCGTAGGATCTCAGATAGGCACGTGAAATCTAGATCTGCGGATATCTGAGAGGTGAGGAGGTTTCCTTGCAAGCTAGTGAATTATCCCCCCCCCCCTTTTTTCTTTTTTGGCAGTGCTAGGTTTTGCTAGTCATGTACCATCCTGCCCAGTCATTGTGTTTCCCTCATAATTTGAGATAACAGATATGTGCCACCGTGCCTAACCATTGAGATAGAGTCTCATTAACTTTCATGCTAGGGCTGGCCTCAAATAAAAATCCTCTAATCTTTACCTCCCAAGTAGCTAAGATTACAAGCTTGAGCCTCTGACTGTGAAGTCCCATTCTTTGTGTGTGTGTGTGTGTGTGTGTGTGTGTGTAGAGAGAGAGAGAAGGCTGGTGATCTACCACTTGAGCTACACCTCTACTTCTGGCTTTTTTCTGGTTAAGTGAAAAAAAGAGTCTCACAGACTTTTCTGCCCAGGCTATGTTTGAAGCACAATCCTCAGATAGCCTCCCGAGTAGCTAAGATTATAGGTATAAGCCACTAGTGTCTGGCAAGAAGTCCCATTCTCATTCATACAGTTATTAAAAGAATGTTTTGTGCCCTTCAGGCCTAGCTCCTGAGACCCAGCCAGCCCTTTCTCTACCCATATCCTCTGAGAGTAAAAATGAGGAAATGTCTCAGGTCACACCCTCCTTAACTAGAAAGGAAGTCTCTCTTTCTTTTTTTAAAGATTCAAGAATCCTAATCTGGGCCAAGAGCTCTGAGAAGAGTCACTGGGAAGTACCAAGTGTGGAGTCCTAGGGAGCAGCAGCCTTTGAGATGGAGGGAAGGGAAGTCAGTGAAGAAGAAAGGCTGGCCAGCTGCTTGGGGGACAGGTAGATGAGGCAGGGCTGCTTGAGCTGGATTTAATTGTACAATGGAGACACATCGTTCATATAGCAAGTCAAACATTCAGCCCTGAATCCTTATCGTGGGGGATTCTACCTACTGGTGGATATGAGGACCATATGCTCAAAAGTGGGTGTGAGGTGGGAGATGTGTGTCTCCTGTAAGGTCAGTCTCTCTGGCTCCTGTGGGTTCTTCATGGCATGAGGATCTTGCTTTGCTGAGAGTGAGGCACATGTTTCAATGTGGAGGGTTTGTTGTCGTTGTTAATTCAAGGTGGCTCCTAAACATAAGCCACCATCTTCCTCTGGTGCCTGGTGGAGGAGGCAGTTTTCTGTTCTGGCCCAGAAGGAAGTTGTCTATGTGGATGGTGATGGGGAAACAGAACATCAGGCTTCAGGATCACAGCCTTCCTAAGGGGAGGAGTTGTCAAGGGTGATTTTGACTCATGTGTCATAAGCATTGAATATAGAAATTCAGTTCCAAGTAAGGGGTAAACCCGTTATCTCGTCAGCACCAAGCACTTGGAGATAGTGATTAGAATGCATGCATTGTTTGGAAAGCCATCTGGAGCCCACAGTCTTAGTGGGAGAAGGAAGAAACATAGTACGAGGTAGGAACATCATAAAGTAAAAATGGAGCTGGCCGCTAGTGGCTCACACCTATAATCCTAACTACTCAGGAGGCTGAGATCTGAGGATCATAGTCCAAAGCTAATCTGGGCAGGAAAGTCTGTGAGACTCTTACCTCTAATAAATTACTCAGAAAAAGCTGGAAGTGGCACTGTGGTTCAGTGGTAGAGCATAGCCTTGAGCAAAAGAAGCTCAGGAACAGTGCCCAGGCCCAGAGTTCAAGCCCCGGGACCAGCAAAATAATAATAAAGTGAAAACAGATGACTTATAGTTAGATCAGTGATTCTCAACCCTGGTTATTCATTAGAATTACCCAGAGAGTATTCCACAGTTTCATCTCAGGCTGTATCCAAGACCAGAATCAGAATCTCTGGAAGTAGCATCGGAAGCCATCGGTATGAGACTCTAAAGGGCAAGTGAAGTTGAGAGGAACCAGGGAGAGTGGTGCAGATTAAACAAGTTGCAAGTGATTAAATTCCTGAGCAAAAGAGGTTTCTCATAGCAAGTCAGTAGCTCCAGAGTCTTCCCACGTCCTCTCAGTCATCTTCCCAACTGCCAAACCTACCAAGATGGCTAATGTAGCCCCAACAGAAGCCCCAATGGCCAAGATCAGGAAAAATGTACATCCCTATTCATATCCTGAAGCCTTTTAAGATTCTTCAAAAAGACAATATGGAGGGAAAAACCATACCAAAAAAAAGAAAACAAGCGGGGCTTGGAAGGTGGCTCAGTGGTAGAGCACTTGCCTTGCATGCCTGAGGCCCTGGGCTCGATTCCTCAGCACCACATAAGCAAAAAGAAAAAAGCCAGAAGTGGCGCTGTGGCTCAAGTGGTAGAGCGCTAGCCTTGAGCTGAAGAGCTGA